ACTACATTTATGGTTTTACAAATATGACCCAGCCTTGCATGCCAGGAATGAAGCATACTTGGTCATGATGGATGATTTTTGAGATGTATTGCTGAATCCTGTTTGCTAGGATCTTGTTGAGAATTTTAGCATCTATGTTCATCAAAGATATTGGCCTGTAGTTCTCTTTTTTCGTTGGATCTTTACCTGGCTTGGGTATCAATGTGATGTTGGCTTCGTAAAATGATTTGGGGAGAGTTCCATCTTTTTCAATCGCCTGGAATACCTTCAGTAGGATTGGTATCAGCTCCTCCTTAAATGTCTTGTAGAATTCTGCTGGAAAGCCATCTGGACCAGGGCTTTTTTTTGTAGGTAGTTTTCTTATTACATAGTCAATTTCCTTGGTTGTTATTGGCCTATTTAGGGTCTCAATTTCTTCTTGTTCCAACCTAGGTAGGTTGTGTGATGTCAGAAAGTCCTCCATTTCCTTAAGGTTTTCAAGTTTGTTTCCATACAAGTGTACATAGTAGTCTCTAATGATCTTTTGTATTTCTTCATGGTCAGATGTGACTTCATCTTTTGTGTTTCTGATTGTGCTTATTTGGGTTTTTTCTCATTTTTTCTTGGTCCGTCTAGCTAGGGGACCATCGATCTTGTTTATCCTTTTGAAGAACCATCTTTTTGTTTCAATGAATTTTTTGTATTATCTTTTTGTCTTCTATGTGCTAGATTTGGGCTTTTATTTTGGTGATCTGGATTCTTCTGCTGAAATTAGGGTTTTTGTGGTCTTGCTTTTCCAGCTTCCTTAGGTGGCTTTTTAGGTTGTTTATTTGTGTTCCTTCCATTTTCTTCATGTGTGTTTGTAGGCATATAAATTCCACTCTTACTACAGCTTTTAAGGCATCCCAGAGATTTTGGTAAGATGTTTCTTCCTTTTCATTTGTTTCCATATATCTTTTGATCTATGTTTTGATTTCATCATTGACCCAGGAGTTGTTTAGCATCATGCTGTTTAGTGTCCATGTTTTTGTGGGTTTGGGGGGGACTTTGTTGGTGTCAATATTTATTTTTATTCCACTGTGGTCCGAGAACCTTCCCTTTCCCATACACTTTTTTAGATACACAATCCACAATCCAGTCTCAGTCAACTGGAGCAACACACACACACACACACACACACACACACACACACTCTCAAACACAGGCCATAGTGATTGATGCAGAACAAGCACATGACCTAAGCCAAGGACTCCTGCTGCTTCTCCCTTTCCATGGGTTTGCTAAGTTGGTAGAACTATCTAAGAAGCTGCTGGTATCTGGCAATCATCTTTGCCACAGTCATCCTATGGTACAGTCTCTCCTATGGAAAGTCACATATAGGAAAGCAGGATGTGAGTGGAAATACTCTCATTACACATTACTCATAGAAATACTCTCATACACATTGCTCATAACAGTCTGAACATCTAGCTGGATGCAGTGGGCATGAGGCAAGACTCCAACACTAGCCTTCCTTCACAGGTGAACCTGGGTATTTTTTGTTTTGTTTTGTTTTTGTTATATTCCTGTCCAATGCATTGGAAGAGTCCTGACCAATATATCCCTTTACCAGGCCGTTTCACCCATCTGAAATGCTATGACCTCCATGTTCCACATATCAGAAATCTTATTCCCCAAGACCAGGTTCAAATGTCATCTCCACTATTAAGTCTAGCTTTATCCCAATCATAATTATCATCTTCTTTCTCCTTCTATATTTTTTGGAGTAGTGGTTAAAGCAATCTGCCTTGAATTAGAGTTGATATTTAGCATTATCCCATCTGGCTCTTGAATAATTTTGGGTCACTTTTTCTCCACTTTTTTCATATATAGCTTTATTAAAGAGTCTTGTAATACAGTCCAAACTCACTCAAATGCTCTCAAAATTTGTATGTTACCAAGCTCATGTATAAAATACGGTGATCCTTTCCCAGGGTTCACAATGCCCATCCACAAAAATTTTCCAGGTATAAAATGTTTCTATTCTCACATGATCACTGTTCACTCAATAGAAAGAAGCTAAGGCACAAAGAAGCAGAATGTTTCAAGGCAAAGGCATGATATATTTGCTTCAGAAAATTTAACTACTAAAAGTTTTCAATACAAACTATCCCACTGAAAAAACGATCATGTATTTTGAATCCCTAAAACTTCCAAATGCAAATCCTACAAAAATCCAGCACAGCCTGTGAAACTATATAGTAGTTTCAGTGAACTATACAGTGTAGAAGATAGATAACACACACACACAGTTATGACAAATGCAGAAAGGAACACTTACTTAAGACAGTCCCCCAAATTGCCTAAATAACAATAACTGGCATTTAGTATGTCCTTAGTATGAGCCAGGAAGTATTCTAAGCTTTTTATATGCTTTACCTTGTTTAATCCTGGTAACAACCATAGTATATGGATACTATTATTATTCTCATTTAACAGATGAGGAGACTCAAAGAGGTTAAGAAATTTGATAAGTAATAAGTATTGAACCCAGGCAGTATGATTCTGGAACCTGTTCTCAATCACTGAATTTCCTTTTTAGAGTAACCAAGTGATGTCCCATCCCATATCTGTCCCAAAAGGGATGAGACTAGAAAGAAAAAGTCAAGCTAAGGCTCACTTAACATTCCCATATTTCTAGCTAATTACCAGGAATTCTGGATGTCTACTCTTACCTCAAATTTAACCGTTTCAACCCAAACATCATTTTTACCTTTACCCAGGCCTATTTCCCCTCCCAATTTTCACATTTCAGTGAATTCTCCTAGTCATCTAATTTTAAAATTTTATGCTCGTCTTTGGCCTCTCTCTCTTTTAAATTCCATACATATCCACTTACAAAGTTCTGAATATTCTTCCTCAGATGCATCCTTTCTTTTTTTCTTTTCTTTTCTTTTTTTTTTTGAGTTGGAGTCTCACTCTGTCACCCAGACTAGAGTGCAGTGGCTGCTCCCAGCCACCGCAGCCTCGACCTGCTGGGCTCCGGCGATCCTTCCACCTCAGCCTTCCGAGTAGCCGGAATTACAGGCACGTGCTACCACGCCCGGCTGATTTTTTAATTTTTTGTAGAGATGAGGTCTCACTGCCCAGGTGGGTCTCGAACCCGCGGGCTCAGGCAATCCACTCACCTCAGCCTCCCAAAGGTGTGGGATTACAGGCTGAGCCACTGATCCTGGCTATCCTTTCTTTTACAGTTTCATTATCCCTATCCTGATCTGGTCTCTGGTCTCTTCACGTCTAGCTCAACAGAATGGCCTCTTTATCTTACAGACTAAAGGTTTAATCCCTTTCAATCCATTTATATGCATAACTAGTTAAATCTGTCTGAAATACCATAATACTTTTCATAATGCATCACTTTCCTCTTGCTTAAAAACTAAAATGGATATTCATTTTGCTTACTGAATCAACTCCTTATAAGACCATTTAAAGCCTTCATTACTTGGCTTCTACCTCACCTAATGTAACAACATTCTTTTCAAATAAGTGGAAACCAATTCATAATAGTAGTGCCTATGTCAGAATAACTCCGTGGCAGAATAAGGACCTGAAGCCAGAGCCAAAGTTTTATACATGCCACCCTGTCAATTGTCATTTCTCACTCCTCTACAGCCTTTCTCAGTCATGTAGTCTTTCCACAGTTCCTCAAACTATGCTCATTTCCAGCTCCATTTCCATTTGTCCCTCATTCCCTCAACTTATCTGGAAAGCACTCTTCCTTCGACTCAACTCATTAAAATTCTATCTATCCTTACTATGTTCTAGTTCAGTATCCAACTTCTTCCATAAAACATCCATCCACTGATACCAGTTTGCAACAGTTTCTTCCTTTTCTGACCTCTTAGAGTATTTATTGTCAAGGTTATACATTTCTGTATTTGAACAAAGTTGATAAGGTTTTCTACTGTTAGATAGGCATACCCTTGTACCCCAAATAAGACTGCAATTCGTTTAGAGGAAGGAATCGTTCTTTTCTGTTGTTTATGGCTAGTATTCACTCTAAGTGAATAAATCTAAGGCTTGTTTAATATACTTATTTGGACTACCTTTGACTGTGGCTAGTAGGCTCACATCCTCCTCAAGCAAAAATCTAACAAATCAGTTATGAAAATGTTTTAGGATAAAGCTGCTGCTTGGTATCTGTTAAAAAAAAGCATAGACCAAGCAACAATCTCTTTTCCTAAAGTCTGCTTAAAATTCTTTTTGATTGTTTTTTTAAAAATAAAGGTTTGAGCCCGGCATGATGGTGCATGCCTATAGTACCAGCTACTCAGGAGGCTAAGGCAGGAGGATTGCTTGAGCCCAGGAGTTCAAAGTCAGCCTACGCAACATAGCAAGGCTTCATCTCGGAAAAAAAAAAATGTTAGTCAATTAATAATAAAGCCTTAATAACATGGGTAATCAAGAAAGAGTATCTTTAGTGGACCAGAAACTTTGAGTGATTCCTAGCAACTAGAAAGCAGATGAGATTGTAGTGATGAAAACAGGGCAGAAGATACCAAAGTCCAGGAGGATGGCAAGGAGAAATAAGTGCTAGTTTTCACAAAGGAGCCTCATTAAAGAACTGTGATCAAAGTAGCCAGAAGCCTTGGGTCCATCCTCAAAAGCAGCTGGCAGTAAAAGCTTTGTGTGTTAGGGTTAAATCCTGAACTCAACTCTCTAAACAAAGTGATCTCTCAGTAAGCGGGGTATCAGATAACTCCAAACTGCCCCACCACCATGCCAAAAAAAGGATGGAGATGGTCAAAAACCTGTAACTAGGAATGAAATAAAAGTATTCAACATCCCCCTGAGTAATGCCCTACTTATTTTGGCAATTGTTGGGGTACTAGTCTGCTTCTTCCCTCCTCACTAAAATGACTTGAGGGCAAGTTGCCAAATTACTCACAACCCCCAGTCAGACTTCCCATTCAAAGGAAAAGCCTTTCGGGACAACAGACAAGCAAAGGCAAAAGAATTGCACACAAACGACCTGCAAAATTTGACCAGGTCCTTCAGGAATAAATATGAATCGCTAACCAGAGCTCTCCAGATATTTGAGAAAAACCAATTGCATGAAAGAAAAGAACCAGTGTTTAAAATCTAACTTGTAGTCAGCTCAGAGTTAGAGACTCAAATATAAATTTTACAGACCTTCACAATGTAAGAATAAAGTAATTAAAACTGGAATTGAAGAGAAGGAAGAGAAATAGAAAGAAGGCTGGGTGCACTAATCTCATCATAATTTAAAACAAGGAATCAATACGCACTGTCTGAAGTTGGCACAGTACAAAAGAAGAAGAATATTATCTAAGTCAAAAGAAAACACAAAAAGAACTAAAAATAAAATAAAATATTGGGAGGCAGAAGTGGAAGAGGAGGTTTAAAGAACCATTCATCATTGAGGAAGTCAAGAGATACCATTTATAGT